CTGGTTGCTAAATTAAAAATAGTCGAAATGACTTATATCTTTTATTTTGGAAAACCAGGGACAAAAAGATATTCGCAGCCAACAAGTGAGGTGCCAAGTTTCTGTCAACTGCTTGGTTATAATTTGGAGAGTTCGAATTAAATTTTCTATCTTGAAAATGCAGTTTGCAGAAAGAGAAATGATGTAAGGGTGGGTGCAGGCAACTTTTTGTCGGGCCTGAAATGATGGTCCTCTCAGCTTCTATGATGTTCTGGATGAGCCTAGAGACTTGATAAGGAGAGAAATTCTCCTGCCATGAGGCTCCACCAGGAAAAACATGGGCTCCGTGAACATGACTCACAGACTCCTTCTTCGTGTCAGCACTGACCTCTGGTGAAAAGCTTTGACCCAGCTCACACCACCACGGCCCTTCTCATGGCTGGGATAGAACTCCCAGGAAGAAAAGAGTACTCATAGACCCCACAGTTGTACTGAAACAAAGCCGAAACAGGTACACCACATTTATACTCGACATTAGTGTTCTCCGTTCCGGCTGTGCCTTCAAATCATTTGAGGGTTTTAAAGAAAATACCAATGTCTAGGGCCTATCCCAGACCAATTAAATCATCATTTCTGGCCCTGGTATTTTTAAAAACTCCCCAGGTGAGTTTCACGTGCAGCTGGGGTTAAGAGCTGCCTCTGGCTAATGGGAGACACACACAGAACCAGCAGGCACTAAGCTTTCCTGGGCTGGGCAAGCCGTTCTTCCCTGAACACCCCAAGTCATGTGACCACTAGATCATTTGCCCCGACATGCAACAATTTGCATACATCTTCTGGCTTCCAGGAAAGATCTATGCAAACATGCAGGGCTGTAGCCCTCTAAGGCCTGCCTCATAGGTCAAAACCCTGAACTAGTCTGCAAAACTCTTTTGTCCCTCGGCCCAGAAAGCCTGCAATAGGGGCTGCCCCCTTCCCTTCCCTGAATCAGCTATGCTGCCGAGTCTGGGAAACCTCAGGGCTGGGAGCAACTTTCCTCTTGAAGGACCACGGAATGTTAAGTGTGGGCTCAGTAAGAAGAGTTGATGGTTCGGAGAAGGGATTTTATTTCACAATCACGTACACTGGGAAACCTCCAAATGGGGCTGGGGGTGGAGGAGGATTTAGAGTCAATTTAAAACAGCGTTCCAGCCAGCGATTGTTAATCCCATTGGGCTCCATTCAGTCATCTTTATGCTTAGTTTTAGTCGAAGAAGCAAGAAAGACTCCCCTTAATAACCGGGCAAGAAAGCATCAAGTGTTTTCTATCTCTCTTTTGCAAACAAGTAGGTGTCTACATGCTTGAATTTGTCACTGTGCTCCCGTTTTGCAGACAGTGATCTGGCTGGCACAAAGACACGCAGCCCTGGTGCCCACAAACAGCTGCACCCTATAGTACCAGCAGGTGCACGGACAGGGCCCAGGGAAAAAATTCAGTGCAAGAACAATGGCGCTGTTATGACGCCCAGGGACGAAGCCCCGGGCTAGCCACGACTTCACTACATGTGACGACGGGAAGAGCTGGAAGCTTGGCTGCTGCTCCCTGGGATTTGGCCTCTCTGTCCCTGAATCAGAGCCACAGATACAGCCAGGTAGAGCCCCGCAGTGAGAGCGGCCATCAATTGTGGGGTGTGGCTGGAAAGTTGGTGGAATTGAAAAAAAAAAAAAAAATCCCTCCAGCAAATGTATTCCTTTCCTTTTACAGATCTTCTCCTTGGTGGCTGCACGGCCACAGTCACCAAGTTTACATTGACATCCAAATATGCACACACAAAAAATTACCGATGCATCTCACTCCCCGGTGACTTTATAACAGGTTGCTAGGTAACAGTGCATACAAGTCAGGTTTCAGGACCTCTAGTAAGCCACCATAAAATAGCTGCATGGGCCTTTTGCATAAATAGTGTGCATTTGTTATCTGTTTTCTTATGCCAATGGATCAGTCAGTAAATACTCTGACTGCTAAACCGTAAACAACTCCCCATCAATAGGGAACTGAAAAAACCCTCACATGATAAGGCTTTGGTGTGCAGTACTTCACCCCAACTGGGAGCTGGCTTCTCCCCATGTCTCTCTGCTGTCTGCAGGGTTGGCTCAATACTCCCTGAGATTGGGGCTGGGGCGCATGACAGCCTGACACCTGATGTGGGTGTGCAGAGCTGGGCCCAGCAAGAGCAGTGTATCAGACATCGGCGTTTTAGCTGAAGACCAAATCTTCCCTTCTCCCCCCTCACCTTCCTCCAGATTAAAAAAAAAGAAGAAGAAGAAAAAGAAAAAAGAAAAACCCTGAAGTCGTGAATAAAAGGGAGGGCGTAGCACCTTAATAGTTACCTCGCCCCATTTCTGTGCCCGTCTGTTCAGTAAGGTGACACCTCCCTCCGAAGCTCTGCTAAGTGAACAGGTCATTTGCATCCTTCCCTGGGATTGCATGTCACAGCCCAGACAAGGAGCCCCTTTTGCTATCGTGGCAGGAAAAGCCCATGGAGGAAGAACAGAGTTCCCTGGAGACAAAAGTCCTAAGGGGTCAGGGCAGCAAAAGAACACTGGAAATACATTTCTCCCACATTTAAAAATAGTTTTAAATATAAAATGCAAAGTATCTACTATCACATTTTGCCCTCGATTGGGAGAGAAGAAGAGAAGGCAGTAGGGGCTGGGGGTTGGGGGAGAGGAGTGGAGACCGCCTGCCTCCAATGCTGTGGTCAGATGTGCTTAGTGTCTGGCCATCCCCAATGTCACTGCTCTCTCTTCCTCCTCAGGGCCTTTCTGGGATGCCTCGTTTGCCCATCCTCTTGGTCCCCTCAGGTCCTCCAACTACTCACTCCCATTTCTGAGGGTCAATGATCTGGGCCTGAGGGGGACATTCCAAAACCTTCCTCCGAAGTGTCACTGAGCAAAGGGACTTCAGAATGAAGCTGAACCTGTAACGCACCTGGCAGTGACATTTAGTGAAATGCGACTCACAGTCCATTTAAAAGAAGGCGGTGACCAATTATTCTCCATTTAAAAGGGTATTGTCAATCTCCAAAGAGCTGAAATGGCATTTGGAAATCATCGTGGGGACGGTCCTCTTCACTAAAAGGCAGAAGCGATTCTAAACCGACCTTTCCCCAGCCTCTACCTCTCCTTTAATATTTAAAATCATACTTTTAAAAACGTAATGAGTAGCAGCACAATTCCACAACATGTCTTATCGTTCCGAAAGAGTCAGGAGCACCAATGCCCCCTGACACCTGTACACCCCTTGTTCAACATCACAGCTCCATCAAAGACATAGGAAAAAAGTGACAAAAACAAAATAAAACATCGTGTATAATTTGAAAGCGATGTCAATTACATTTTTATAATTTCTATTTCATCTCCCTTTCAAACAGCATTAGAGTAGTTAGAAAAGAATGTTTTACTGTTGTTTTGCCAGAGGGAGAGTATGCCTGCAAGAGAGAGAGAGAGAGAGAGCGTGCACCCAATGGGCTGCTGGTCATGTGCAAATTTCTCCTCCATCCTTCCATTCCATCGGGAATTGGGGTGCTCACATGCATGTGCCTCGCAAGCACTCAGGGCTGAGACTCAAACTGCACTCAGCTGTGTGGGATCTGACTCCCTACTCCTAGCACCCAACCACTGCGCTTCGGGCCAGCCCTGGAAAAGAACACTTGAAAAGAAATTTTTTTAAATCCCACTTTATGTGAGGAACCTGGAGTAACCAAATTCATAGAGACAGGAAGTAAAATATTATATTGGGACATGGGAAAAGTCATGATGCGTTTTTGCATAGAAAAACAAACAAAAAAATACGTCACAACTTTTCTGATGACCCAATAGTTTGCCAGGGGCTGGAGGGGAGTGGAAAATGGGGAGCTCGTGTTCAATGGATACAGAATTTCGGTTTGGGAAGACGAAAAGTTCTGGAGAGGGCTGGTGGTAATGGTCCCTAACAGTGAGAATGTACTTAATGCCACAAATGTACTTAATGCCCTAAAATTCAATGGATACAGAATTTCGGTTTGGGAAGACGAAAAGTTCTGGAGAGGGCTGGTGGTAATGGTCCCTAACAGTGAGAATGTGCTTAATGCCACAAAATTCTATACCCTAAAATGGTTCAAGAGATAAACTTTACTTTTAGCATATTTTACCATATTAAAAAAATCTCCCATCCCACCTGGGGAAAAAACAAAAACAAAAACAAAAACAAACAAACAAAAAATACCTCTGACACATAATTATCATTTGCTCAATTTTTTAGAAGTGTGTAATTCCAAATAGAAATCTCTGCATTTATGTCTTTTAAAAAATCATTCAAATTAAAACTGTAAATAACCTGGGCCAGCAGGTGACTTGGCAGTTAAGGTGCTGGATCCCATATGACTGACTTCACAGATAGCGTCCTGGACCTCCTGAAAAACATGCCGAGAACATGTGTGTGCTTGCCCAAAATCCCAAGAGGAGAGTGGAGGAGAAGGGACTATGGCATGGCTACCCCCTCTGGAAGGTGATTTCTCACTTTCCCTCTCCCTCCCTCTCTCTATTTCTATCCCACAAGTGTATATGCCCTAAAACAAAACTTAAAAAAAAACAGTAAAGAACTGAATAATGCAAAATGAAGTATTTCATACAAGTACTGTAAAGAACCCAGTGCAGAAGAGACAAGTTACACAGGGCCCCAGGTCATACAAAGCAAGTGACACAGATCTGATTCACCATGTGACCTCTCCCTCCCCTGCAGTATAAACCCAAAAAGGGGGGGAAAATAGAAGGAATTCAACCCAAGTCAAAGCAATGTCTACTTTCAAAGGATTGTAAAAGAAAAACAAAACAAAACAAAACAAAAAACAGTCAAGGAGAAAATTTATAAAAATACAAACTGAGGGGACCTCAAAATCATCTAGTCCTAGGAGCTTATGTTACAGATGAGAATACTGGGAGAGAGACAGAGAAAGAGAGAGAGTCGGTGAAAGAGGGAGAACACAACCCTAGTCAAGTACCTGACAGCTTCATGAGAAAATCGGACGCCATCTTAACAGAGATGTCCTGGCTGAACAATGCTGCCGCACTGTTGGCCACATACTCGGAGGGGTCTTTCAGCTTTGTGTGGTTGGCGGGCCTGTCAGCAGCATTCAGGGCAAAGGAGGTGGGCAGGCCGTTATCTTCCTTGGGTTCCTCCTTCACCAGCACAGGCGAGACGCCAGCCCCACCCTGGCTAGTCCTCTCTGGAGTGTTAGACGTCATCATGGTCCCCACTAGCTCTGTCCCTCCTCCTTCCCTCTGCTGCCCCAGGCAGGCACTGTCACTGAGGTGGGGAGATCCCTTGACATCTGGGTCTGGGATCTCCTCCTTCACCTTGGCTTCTGTCCTCAGGAAGTGCTGATGGCAACGCATGTGCAGTTTCAGGCTGAAGTGGCGTGAGGAAGTGAAAGGGCATAGCTGGCACTGAAAGGTCTCTCCCCGGTCCTGGTGCTGATGAACCTGATGGAGAAGCAAGAAGAATGAGCTTGCCACTGTGATCCTTCTGGAAAATGCCTCGCTGTAGATCCAAACTATGCATCCATCATGGCCTCGCTGTACGAAAGCTGGCCCAGCAAAACACGACTAGAGGTGTAGTTCATTACTGTGGGCCGGTGACGAGGCCCATCCCTCACATGAGGCGGTCCACGTGGGCCTAGAATCCACAATGAGAGCCACGCTCACAATGGCGGATGCCGTCTGCCAGGGGATGCTGTTTTTCATAGAATCCCTCTAATATTCTAGTCATCCAACCTCGGTTGATGTCTTCAGAGAAAAATAGTATAAGCCCAGAATAATGTGAACTTACATAATTACTAGTTAGGGGTCAAAAGAGGTAATCTGTCAAGTAATTCCTCTTGCGGTAATAACACTTTGCATGTACCCAATTATTGTCACCCAGAGAATTACTTATGTTTTGCAAATATAATTTCAATTTTCAAAATGCTGCTCTTAGGTAATTAAGAATGTAGAAAATAATGTCTCCAGGGTACTCCCGTTTCACAGATAGGGAAATTGAGACCCTGGGCAAAATTACAAATGAAGGAAGCAAAGTAGGGGGAAAAAAAAGAAAAAAAAAAAAGCCCAGGCCTGACCTTCATCAAGTATTTTGAACAAGAAAAAGCCAACTTTTCCAAATGGACCTATTATATTATGGCCCAGATTCTGACGTCTGCAATGACAGAATGCAGACTTTTAAATCCAGTGCCACTCATGTGTGCACGCCATACCTGTAAAAATGGAGAAAACCTTTTTCTTCCTCTCACTACCAAATTTAGTGCATGAAAAAGTGAGGAAATCATTGTTTTGGCCCGAGTCAGGCTTGGAGCTGGCGGGAGCTCCTAAGCTTGTAACGTCCCATTCCCCTCATCTCTGCCAAGGGACTTCAGAGCTGACCTGCTCCTCCCTGCTATTTCAGGACCGGCCCTCCTTGGAGTAGACGCTGCCAATTGTGTAGATGGGGGCCAAATGATTTGGGGAGTGGTGTGATCTGGACACGAGGAGGAATCACAATTCCAAACGAAAACAAAACCGACACCTCATCTTTCAGGGGTGACCCAAACAGGATTTGAACCCAGGTTTCCGAGGAGGTTTAATACGCATGCATGAATCCAGGGCGCCACCTGGCCTCTCGGTGCAGGTTTCTTTTCCAAGAGAGCAAGTTTTACGACAGCTGTTTATGCATTCTGAATACAGTCCAAAAGCATTATTCACCAGCCAAAACATACTTTTAAATAATGTGAAGTGACCAACAAAAGCAAAGAAATTAAAAGTTAATGGTGAGATCCTGTCGCTACAGCACCCCACTGTGGCTTTTTGAAAAAAACAACAGAAGAGATTCTGGGTCCCCTAACACAGGAGTTTCTCCACAGAAATAACCCTATAAACTTAAACTCAGTGGCAGCAAAGTGCTACTCATGGCAAGGCTTCCCCTGGCCGGGGCAGAGGTGGGGGTGGGGAGCACAGGATTGTCACTGGCAGCTACCATCACCCCCTTCTGTGCTCTCACAGCCAAGGGCTTTCAGTGGAGCTGATCATTTCGTTTGCTTTCTCACAGAATCCAGAAGAATCTCCTCCACCCAATTCACACAGCCAGCGGCAGGCCTTGGGGGCCTCAGGGCACAGATCCATGAGACTCTGATAGAAGCTTCCAAAAAAAAAAAAAAAAAAAGCCCGGAACCAGGTGGTAAAGGTCACAAGGCAGTGTGCTTCCGTCATCCCTGGGAGCGGTGGGGCGGATTCCATTTCAGAAGTGCCCTTACATCAATTGACTCAGGAGAGGAGAGGAGCTAATCCCAGAGCAGAAGCTCCGGAAGCAGCTTCTGGAAGAAGGAAAAGGACGGAGCACAGGCCCAAGTTCTCAAATCAAAAGGGAGCCCCGGCTCCAAAAGCGTCTCTGTGCAAGTCTTTTAGGTGGTTGCTTTTCCACCAGATCCTGCCCATGTTATATTTAGTTACGGAAAATTTAGGGAAAGGTTAAAGGAAAAACAGTGGGTGTCGTGTTGACTTTCACACTGGTCATTTTATTTGCGCTACACCTTCCCCGAGGGGCTATGTATCACATTCGGCCTTTCAAGGAAGGATTAGCTCTGCCCCCTGGTTACTCTTTCTCTTTTCTCTCCATAGAAGAGCACTTTTCTGTCATAACTTTTATTTTCATCAGACTACCACTCCTGTAGTCCCTCTTAGTCTGCTAAAGTGAAGAAATGCTTGTCTAAGGCGCATCATTCTCTCCAGGTGGTGTTTAGAGACTCACTTCACACCCAGGGCCCATATCAGGCACCGTTAATCACGAGGGCCATCTCCTGGTAGTCCTCAGACGCTTGGCTCCTGGTGTTGCAGAGCTGGGAGAAATGCAGGGGAACATTGGGGAACATCTACTCCCTCTGCCTTAGGGGAACGGACTGTCATGAACAATCACTGCTCCTTACAGGCCCGGCCTAAGACCAGAACTCAGCACCTCCTGTCCACTTTCTTGCCATAACTCCAGCAATGTTCCTTATCTCGGCACTGCTCCTCACCTTTTCTGTTCCATTCTAACTTATGTGTTTCACATTTAACTCCTGTGTGCTCACTCATCCAGGAAAGTTGTAAAAGACTTAATGGAAATCTGAGATAACCCCGAGGAAGCTGGAGGCTTTATAAGTGTCTTCCATAGCTGGTCATAAAAACGTCTACACAATAGATTATGGAGGAAAAGCAGGCTTAAGAAGTCCTATGCCTGGCATCCAGTAGGAATTTGGTAAACACTCTACGTGCTGGACAAAATATAATAGAATCCTATCCTCCTTAAATAAATCTATAATCTCAATATAGAAAAAGATATACTTGGGACCAGCAGTTAGCCTAATGGCTATGTCATTGGACTCCCATGTAGTCAGCGTGATTCGAGTCCTGGACACAGCGGCTTAAACTCACGCCGGGCGTGTGTGCACGCATGCCCAAGATCCTGAGAAGAGAACGGAGGAGAAGGGATTGTGGCGTGACCATACCCCAGGGGGTGATTTCTCGCTTTCTGTCTCTCTGTTTATCTCTGTCTTTCTGGCAAGTGCACGTGCCCTATAGCAAAACCTCTCCAAAGAAAGAAAAACATATATATATACCAGAATGATAATGGCTATTTCTGAGTAAAGGGATTGAGGGTCAATTTTATATTCATTTCATTTACCAGTTTTTCTAAGTTCTTAGCACTAAAGATATATCATCAAAAGAGAAAAGCAATAGAATTTACATTAGGGTAATTTCTTTTTTTAATTTATTTTTGACAGTCAAATCAAGGATATTATCATGTACATCATTTTCAGTGGAGAATTTTACATTCTTGAGTCTGCCTTCCCTTTGCCCCTCCCGTCTAACTCTCTATCATCCACTCCCCTCCCTTAGAGACTCTGATATCTACATTTATCTTTTCTACTATAATATTTTGGGATCTTTCAATTTCTACCATACAGTGCAGACATTTGGTATATATTAAGCTGGGACATACAGTGTTTGTCTTTCAAAATCTGGCTTATTTCACTTAGCAGTAGGTCTTCCATATTCAACCACTTCGAGACAAATGACAGTGTCTCATTGTAATTTCTTATACCATTTCATTGAATATTTCTACATGCAAACATGAATGTATTGCAATGTATCGGATCATACTATATTAGTTACATTTACTCTATATTATCTTTCTCCTTGCTGGGTACGGTCTTAAGTGCTTTATGTATGTTATCTCATTTAACTCTTATAACAGCCCCATGAGAGAGGGTGCCTGATTGTTATCTCCACAAATGGAAACAGGTTTTGGAGAGGTTAAATGATTCCTCCAAAGCCTCACAGCTCCTAAGTTGTGGAACGGAGATTCTAACCAAGGTTTTTCTGACCAAACACTTTGAGATCTTAATCTCTGTCCACACTGCCTCCACTTCTCAGGCAGAATTTTAGACAATCTATTCATACTTGTAGTCTCCGGAGAAAGCAGCAAAGATATCCATGCATAAGACACAGCTCTTACTCTTCCATGTAGACTCTATTTGTGACATTTAGTAAAATTAAAGTATGTTAAAATAAAATCATGAATTCTTTGATTTAAAAAAAGGCTGACAAGTGAAGTGGAGAACAGGGTAAAGAGACAGTGAATACACCATTTGATAAAATTAAACTTGCATGAGTCCTCAGACTTCCCTTATCAAAAGCTCGAGTGGTAGCTCAACAGGTTAGGACACCGTGAGTTTGAATAAAGTAGTCATTTCACACAACTGCCTTATTGTACTGGTTATTGATTTGTTCTGAAAGCATTCGAAGACCCCACGACCCACAGAGCCCTTGCGGCTCTCATCTTAACACTGTCATGGCTGACTGTCTGTATTATCAAGGCACCCAACTCATCTCCCTGTAGTTTCAGGGTCAGTAGTTCCCGCTATTGAAAACCCAGCTTTTTTTCCACGGGTTTATAAATAGGTTGTTTTAAGTGACCCTGAGCTGAAACCAAGCTTACAAGGTGTCAGGCGAGATGCAAGTTTTCTGCTCACTGAAGCTTTAAATTCGCCAGGCCTGATTTCTAAACACAGCTTAGGACATAGTAACTAAAACAAATTTTAGTTTTAAAGGTACTTCTTTTGAAGTCTCATCATGTTAATGAAATCCAACTTTGCAGGTTTACAACGTGAGTTTTTACTTTGGGAAGAGGTGACAGAGGATGAGGAGGGTTAAAGTAAAAACTATGTAGGCTCAGTAAAATTCAGCCAACCAGAACTCCTGGTTAAATGGATTCTGAGGATGAAGGACATGCTGCTCCCTGGAGAAAAAGGCAAATGATAGAAAACAAATTACATCATGGACTTAATTTTTTTTTAATCTTCTAAGCTATTTCCTTAAGTTGGTAGAGGTTCTTTTTTTTGGAGAGGTTTTTGCTATAGGGCACATGCCCTTGCCAGAAAGACAGAGACAGACAGAAAGCGAGAAATCACACCCCAGGGGGGATGACCACACTGCAATCCCTTCTCTTCCCGTCTCTTCCATCCTCTTCTTGGGATCTTAGGCATGCACGCACACGTACCCGGTGTGAGTTTAAGCCACCAAGTCCAGGACTCGAACTGCGGTAAACCACATGGGAGTCCAGCAATGTAGCCATTATGCCATCTGCTGGTCATGGTAAAGGTTCTTTCTATGTGATTTTATTTGTTTACTTAACAGTGATTACTGATCTATTCAGAAGACTTAGACAAGATTTTTTAAATAAGCAAATATCTTGATTATTTACATATACTGTTCTGCTTATGGTAGGAAAGACACTTAATAAACAAAGTCAACAGCCAAACATGGTGAAAATATGATTGTTGTTATTATTAAGATGTTTGATAAGGGCCAGCAGATGGCGTAGAGGTTAAGGTGGCTGGATCCCACATGGCCTACCGCATGGTTTGAGTCCTGGTCCCACTGGCCTGAAAATCACACCAGGCATGAACGCATACATGACAAAAGTCTTGAGAGGAGAATGGCAGAGAAGGGGCTGTGGTGTAGTCATCCCCCTAGGGAAATGATTTCTCACTTTCTTCCTCTCTGTCTCCAACAAGTACATGTACCGTATAGCAAAACGGTAAAAAAAAAAAAAAAAAAAAGATGTTTGATGATAGTTCTTAAAATGAAATGCCTGCTGTTGAACATTTCTGTGTCAGACATTTTACTAATATTATCTCCTCAATACGAATGACAATTCTTCCAGACAAACACCAGTATTCTCACTTAACAGCTGAGACAATTAAGAGTCTAAGAGTTAAACGTGCTCAAAGCCACTCATCTAGTAAGTTACAAAATACGATTTAAATTCAGGCCTATCAAATTCAAAAGCCCATGCTCTTTTTTTTGTTTGTTTTTTAAAGAGGTTTTTGTCTCTCTTTTGTCACTCACTGGACTATCAAATTCAAAAGCCCACACTTTTTTGTTGTTGTTGTTTTTTAAAGAGGTTTTTGTCTCTCTTTTAGCACTCACTAGAAGGAGAGAGAGACAGACAGACACAGTGAGAGGGAAAGTGAGAATCATCCCCTAGAGGGGATGGCCACACCATAATCCCTTCTCTTTCATTCTGTGTCCAGGACCTTGGGCATGCATGCACACATGCCCAGGGTGATTTTAATGCCACTGGGTCCAGGACTCGAACTGCAGTTGGCCAGGTGGGAGTCTAGTGATATTACTGCTACACCATCTGCTGGTCCTGCCCATGATGTTTTGATCTCTTCCGTTTCCTCCTTAAATACGAAACAAAATCTTTAGCGTAAATCTGGCCTGCTAAAGATTCTACATGACTAAGTATTCTACTGTCTAATATAAGAGTGACACACAGATTCTAGTCAATTCTCTACCAGCTTAATGCAGGCTGGGACTTGCAACTGTTTTCCATAGGACATCAAAAATGTGGTCCCGGAATGTTTGCTGAATGTAATCCTGGGAATGATGATAACTTGTAGCTCAAAGAGGACTCTCAGTCTCGATAGGAAACCCCAACCTTTCATAGGGCTGATACAGTTAAAGTCCAGGTGCCTTTTGATGTCCTCACACCTACAGGGTGTCTCGGGGTGGTCGTCTGTAGGAAGCTGAGCAGGTCCAAGTGCTCTCCCTGCTGCTCAGTTCCTGCAGCTCTTCCTGGGCATGGCCTCCCTGCTCCTTGATCTCTCCCACTCTTTCTCTGAGTGCCTGAACAGATGCATCACCATGCCAGGCCAGGTCAGGCTCTGGCCCCCCTGCAGAGGAGGACAACTCCACGTGTATCATTTGGCTAGTGAAGATTCTGCAGAAAGCCCCTTGTCTACATCCTTCTCTTGCTTTGACTTCCGCCTTGCTATTAGGTCATTGGGAAAATCATTTTCCTATATTTTTCTATGCAAAAATGCGCCATGACTTTCCAGACAACCTCATAGATGGCATGCAGTCAAGAGCGCGCTCCACCAATGGCCCCCCTCTCTGCAGAGACGCCTCCTGTGCCAAATTGTGGGCAGACCTGGCTGGGACGCCCGCAGGTGGCTTACCTTCATGTGGGATTTGAGATTGTCCTTGCGAGCACACCGGAATGGACAGAGCGGACACTGATGACTTTTTAAACCTGTGTGAATCACCATGTGCCGCTTCCAGTAACTCTTCCTTTTTATAACCAAACCACATATTGGACACTGGAAAGGCTTTCCGCTTTCTTCTTCTGAGGCTTGGAAAAAGGAGAAAGAGAGGAACATTAAGGAAAACCGAAAGGTACCTGGCACCTGGCACACACTCACGTGTGTGGCTATACACAGAGCACCAAAAATGACTTGGGTTTTTTTTTTCTCCTTGGCAATTCCAATCGTTTATCCACAGGAAGTGTTAACACAATTCTTCTCCGGGTAGAAACCCACATTCACCGAGTTACTTGTATCTGGGTTCCGTGTTCCAAATCAGATCGCCCTGTCCTGTGAAAGCCTCAATTCCAGGTCAGCCCACATTCAGGAAGCCACCTGGAAAGGTGCTTTCACTGACCTGTCCTCACTCAGGGCCCAAGAGGCACCAGCCTGAGTCAGAAAAGCCTGAATTCAGGGGCTTTGTTTCCTGAAAGAAGCTGGCAGACCTGAGTCCATGTCTGAATTCCTGAACTTGGAAAATGGCGAGGAATAAAGAGAAATCCATGGGACTACGAATAATGCAGTGCTCCACACTGAAAAAAAACGAGCGGCTATCCTAAACCTCACATGCCGAACTCCAGCGGAGACAAATTTGAGGATCCCTACTGCTGACTTGTTTAGTCGTGGCTCGAGCAGATACTGCTGCCAATTTAGCCATCAAGGGATCTTAAGGTCAGGCTTTTGTACCCTCTTATTTTTGTCCCTTGGGTAGCCACTAACAATAAGTGCAGCCTTCCTCTGCCCTGGACTGGGCCTCACTGCCTGCTTTGGGAAGAGCTACAACCAAGCCTCTGCAAGTGGATCAATGCTTCAGGAAAGAAAAGCAACCAAGCACTTTCTCCAAGTAAAGCTAAGATCACTCTCCTGCACTATCCCCAAAGGGAAGGGTCGCTGTTGTGACATCTTATTGCTAAACTTCCGGTCCATCAACTCCTATCGTTCGGTGCCATGTAACCTCTGCAATTGGAAGATACAGAGAATGAAAACAAGTAAGAGTCAAGGGCTTAGACCTTCCTTTCTTAATCAAGAGGAATCAGAAACGTTTCTGGATTGGTTAAGTAAATTGTAATAACTTCACCAAATAAAGTACATGAAGCCATTTTAAAAATAAGCTTAGATCTATAGATGCTCATATGGAAATCTATCCAAGATATTAGAGTTGCTGGATGAAATGATTCAAAATCAGTGTACAAGGTAGTTCGCTCTCTCTCTTTTTCTTAAAAAGGGGAATCCATTGCTGCTAACACCATTAGGTAAAGGATTGATGGGGAAACCAGCAGATGGTATAATGGTTACATCACTGGATTCCCATGTAGTTGAACACAGTTCAAGTCCTGGACCCAGTGGCTTCAAACTCACACCAGGCACGTGTGTTTGCATGCCCAAGATCCTGAGAAGACAATGGAGGAGAAGAGACTGTAGCATGGCCATCCCCCCAGGAGGGATAATTTCTTGCTTTCTGTCTCGCTGTCTCTCCACCAAGTGCACACGCCCTATAGCAAAAATCTCTCAAAACAAACAAACAAAACAAAACAAAACCAGTGAACAACGTAGCTCACTCTCTTTTTTTTTTCTAAAAAAGGGGAACCAATTGCCATTAAAACCATTAGGTAAAAGATTGAAAAAGAACGTTAGAAAGGATGGGTCAAGCTGACAACACCTAAAACCTTTAATGAATCTTAATGATCAGTAAAAATAAGACAGACACTATGAGCCTTCTGACATGCCGTGTTTGAAATATTCTTACAAAGTATTTAATCAGACTTCTATATAACTAGCAGTTTATCAGAAATACAAGTGATTAAAAAAAAAAAGAAACACATCCAAGCGATGGGATCAGCTATATCAAATGTGGGATTCCTTGGGACAAATAACCCAGTCTCTTCAATACTAAATGGCATCTTTAAAAGGGGAGGATTGCGCCAGCTGGTGGCCTGGTGGTTAAAGCAGCTGAATCCCATATGGCCAACCATGAAGTTTGAATCCCTGCTCCAGCAGCTTGAGAAATACACTAGGCACATGTATGTGAGGTGCAAAATCAGAAGAGAAAGGATTGTGACGTGACCAATCCCATGGTGAGGGTGGGCGGGGGTTGCTTTGTCCTCTCTGGCAAACACATGCACCCTCTAGCACACACACACACATACATACACACAAAGGATAAAAAGAGACTTAAAACTATAAAAAAAAAGTAAAGGAAGGTGTAAAGCCTCTTTGGATCCTGTTTAAAACAAAACAACCATAAAAAGACACTTTTTCAGGGGCTGGCAGGTGGCGTGGTGGTTAAGGCTGCTGGACTCCCACATGGCCGACCATAGTTCAAATCCTGGAGCTGGTGGCTTTCTCTCTCTCTCTCTCTCTCTTGCTCTCTCTCTCTGTCCCTCTCTAGTCAAATTAAAATAAATAAATAAATAAATAAATAAATAAAGCTAAATAAAATAATTATTAAAAAAAGAAACTTTTTCAATAACTGAGGAAATACTTTTTATAGCCTAGTCAAAGTAAAGTAAATAAATAAATAAAGCTAAATAAAAGAATTATTAAAAAAAGAAACTTTTTCAATAACTGAGGAAATACTTTTTATAGCCTAGGTGTTCTATAATATCATGTAATAACTGCTGATCTTGTTAGAGGTAAACCATTATCAAATCATGGTTTTGTTTTTTTTTAAAGCAAGTCCTTATCTGTTAGCTCTATGTATCATCTATCTATCTACACACACATATGTATGTAAATATGTGTAAATACTTATATATATAAATGTGGATATGTGTGTGTGTGTGTGTGTGTGTATATATATATATACATATATATATATATATATATATAAGCAAATGGATATGATTTGCTTTAAAATACTTGAGCAGGAAAAAATTCCAATTGAACAGCATCAATAAATGAAACAAACAAAAATGATATCCTTGTATTTGCATGAAAATTTTCTGGAAGCATACTTAAGAAACCACTAAACAGTAATTGTTGAAGGATTGTGGTTTAGAAGAAAGGAATCAGGGAGAAAAAATTATGTTTTCCCTTTATATCCCTCAGTATTATTTGAATGTTCATATACACACTTTCCTTTTATCATTTTAAACTGGAATATTCTTAAGGGTATACTTTAAAATCATCTATTATTTATTTATGGAATTAAGTGAGTTTCTACATGCCAAGGACCACCCAGAATGGATATGATCAGAAGGTTCCTGAAATGAAGTCTGGGCATTCCAAAAATGCAGTTTTACTAATACAGGTAGAAAGGATATTGGTCATCCTAACCAAGCAACTTAAAAAAGCTTCCTCTAACCAAAATTATACCTTTCAAATCTGGAAAATTTTCTTGCAATGTGGTCCATCACAAGTAACTCTTTTTTTTTAACTTGTCATAGGGCACAGAAAGAGACAGAGAGGGAGAGAGAAAGTAAAAAAGCACACCTCAGGGGGGATGACCACACCGTGCTCCCTTTCCCTCTGGGAATTTTGGACACACATGCACATGTGCTCAGCATGTTTTTGGAGCCACAGGGTCCGAGAACCAACTGCTCAGTCTGCTGAGTGGGGTCACCCCCTGGCTAACCCAGGAATTCCTTTTTTTTTTTTTTTTTTTTGAGACTTTTGTTTTTTGCTATAGGACATGTGCGCACGCCAGAAAGACAGAGAGACAGAAAGCGAGAAATCACCCCCCAGGGAGGATGGCCACACCGCAATCCCTTCTCCTCCATTCTCCTCTCGGGATCTTGGGCACGCACACACACACACCTGGCATGAGTTTAAGCCACCAGGTCTGGGACCCGAACCATGGTTGACTATGTGAGAGTCCAGCGACATAGCCATTACGCCAACTACTGGTCCCAGTAATTCCTTTTTTGAATGGGGGCAGTTAGGAGTTAAAGGTTCCCTTTTACACTTTGTAAAGACCTAAAAGAAAGCATTTTTATTAGCCCACCGGGAGCTTCCCTTGCCCCTCATCATCCCGTCATTTCCTCCACCCTGACATCTTGGTACGGAGGACTACATGTTGAACAACAGATCTGAGAGAAAAGACCAAATCGAGCTTCTAGGTGAGGTTATTGTCATACTCCAGAGGGAAATGAGATGATAATGACGTCTGTTTGGGGTCGGAAGAACATCAAAGTAATAAGAAAGAGAAAGCAGGCTGCCACTGATCCCGAAATTCAGGAAGCATTTCTCACTACTGGAACCCTAACCTGCTTGATTTTACAGAACTGTTTGGGAGAGGAGAGAAAAACTGAACTGTTTTTCCCTGGCCTGAGAGTTCATACCATAGGAAGCAAGAAAACATCACTAACTGGAAACATGGACAGTCGCAGCTTCCCCTAGCACCTGGACTTGTCTAATGTGACCAATGTGCTCCCTGTTCTTTCTGACTGCCCACCCCCCCCAGGCCCCCACACTAATCATTGATTCTGTATCTTAAATGAGTGATGGAGTATACTACATTAAACCCTGCGTGTTAGTATTTCATACTAAATACATTTCATTTTGAAGCTACGCTTCCTTAGTTTTAATTAATACTGCAGTATACATGCATTGTGTACAAATTAGGATGTCTTTGGTTTGGCTGGGCAAACAAAATGGAATACTCATAATGAAGAAAAACGAACTGCAAGAAATGCAATCAAATGATAAAATATTAAAACTATTTGAGTTTTTTGGGGTTGTTTTTTTTTTTTTTTTTGAGAGGTTTTTGCTATAGGGTGCATGAGTTTGCCAGAAAGACAGAGAGAGACAGAAAGCGAGAAATGGGGGATGGCCACGCTGCAATCCCTTCCCCTCCATTCTCCTCTCGGGATCTTGGACACACACGCACATGCACCCAGCGTGAGTTTAAGCCACCAGGTTCAAGACTTGAACTGTGGTCGACTACATGGGAGTCCAGCAACATAGCCATTACACCAAGAACTATTGGAGATTTTTAACTGATTGTGGCAGGAAGACAGAAGTCAAATGATCAAAGTAAACTACACTACGATGATTTATTCTGAAATTTGGCCAGTCACCTTCCCTGAAAATGTCTGTATTTTTGTTTATT